CAAGAGGCTGAGATCTGAGGATCAAGGTTCAAAGCCAGCCCGGGCAGGAGAGACCGTGAGACTCCTATCTCCAATAAACCACCAGAAAACCGGAAGTGGCCCTGTAGCTCAAGTGGTAGAGCGCTCGCCTTGAGCTGAAGAGCTGAGGGACAGCGCTCAGACCCAGAATCCAAGCCCCATGACTGAAGAGAAAAAAAAAAAAAAGAAAAAGACTTCTGGCTTCAAATTGTGATCCTTATACCTCAGCCTCTGAGCAGCTAGGATTACAGACGTGACCCCCAGCGCCTGCCTATGATTTTTTGTCCCTTGGGTGGTGGAACACCCCTGCAGCTGTGGGAGCCCCTTGTATCCGTGAAGGGGAGAGCTTGCCCCGGAGTGAGGCTCATCCAGAACTAGACTAGCATAAACACTTTTGCAACACCTGGATCCAGCTGGGTCTGAAGCTTGTCTTAAAAACAAATAAATTCCTTCTCGCTTACTAATTTGATCTGTGGGGGAGACGCTGACGGAAGGGCCTGGGAAGCCCCACCCCACGCTGACTGTGGCCGATCACAGTGGGTCCCCCTCTCACCAGGGCAGTGGCACCCACGAGGGACTCCTTGGCCAGTGCATGGCGAAGGGCGGTGAAGAGGCCGGGCGTGTTTTGTCTCAGGTAGAGCACCTCGCCCACGCCCCCCGTGAAGTCCACAAAGGCCTCGTTCATGTGGCCGCCTCGCATGGTCTCGTAGGAGCCGTGGAGCCTGTGGGGATGTGCGGGAGGGGTGTGAGGCGTGGGGGAGCTGGGCGCCTCTGTCCCTGCAAAGGACACAATCAAGTAGGGGGTGGGTGAGAGAGGGGTGCTAGAAGGCCCCGGAATCTGGACCTGTGGTGCCTGGAGCCTCCAGGACTGCACATTTTGGGGGAACTTGGGGAGCTCTTTGGGAGCTTGCTGTAGAGGTGACTTCTAGGGAGCTTGTAGGCATTCCAGAGCCCCATGATGGGGAAGGACAGATTGGGGGTCCCAGGGATACTAGGATTTTAGGGTGACTATGGACATGTCAGTGGGTCAGGAGAGATGCTGAGCTTACAGGTTCCCCAGGAAAGAAAGCTTCGACCCGGGTGACGGGTATGTGGGCTTTGGGGAGATCCTTGGGAATAATTATGGGTAATTGGTAGGGTTATGGGAAGGCGCCAGAGGGGCGTGTGGACAGTCTGGAGGGTTTGCAGGGTGCACTGTGGTTTTAGGGCTCATGGGGTGGTGACTCGGCTTGAGGGTCCTTGGTGAGGTGCCTGGAAGAACTCAGAAGTCAGGGGTCCTCACTTGGCATAGGCTTTCTCCAGAAGGGGTGCCCAGAACTCGTTCCTCTGCTCCGAGTGCACGAACATCAGCTTGCCCTCCTGGACCGGCAGCTTGTCATCCACCACAACATCCACCCAGCGGCCAAACTGCCAGAGCTGGCGGGAGAGAGGCTTGGCTGCCACCCCAGCCCACCCTGGAGCCCGACTTCTGACCTCAACCCTGCTTACCCAGTCCTTGAGTTCTAGAATGAGTACCACAAGGGGACAGTGTCCATTACGAAATCTATGGCACCCTGCCACCAGAGGGGAAACTGAGGTGCAGAGAGACAAATTAAACTCTACCCGGAAGTGGAAGACGCCTGCGTAGCCATCTTGGAAGCTCTGTCCTGGGGGGACCACCCGGTACAGGAGTCGGGGGTACAGTGTGAGTGAGGCGGCGGCAGCCAGAAACCAGCAATTTCCTGGAAGACAGGCTCAGTGAGGGGGCGGAGGCACACAGGGGGAGGGAGAGGAAGAATGAGGGGAGGGAAAGAGAGCCAAGGCTTCCCGTCAGGGCCACTGTCCCCACATGGATATTTGGGGGCTCAGACGGCCCGGGCTTCTCACCTAGTCTCCCCTGGCACACATCTGTCCTGCTCATGTCTTCACAGATGAACTGAGGCTTCTCACAAAACTCCTGGGCAGGAAGGGGTCCAGTCAGAAAAGCCAAGGCAAGCCGGGCACCTCAGATCACACCTAGGTACTCAGGAGATCTGAGGATGGCGGTTCAAAGCCAGCCCAGACAGGAAAGTCTGTGAAACTGTTCTCTTCAAGGAACCACCAGAAAACTGGAAGTGGCACCCTGGCTAACTGGTAGAGCACTAGCCTGGAGCAGAAAAGCTCACCCCAGGTCCTGAGTTCAAGCCCCACAATGGACAAAGCAAACAAACGGCAAGAGCAACTAGGAACTCAGGTGCCCCCCAGTGCTACCACATCAGCGAATGGGGCCTCCAACCCCCGAAACCCGTGGAGCTCCTGCAGTCTAGTCCAGACTGCTGTCTGTAGGTCAGGCCCTGCCTCCTCCCTCAGACCCAGAAGCCCAGGCCCCAGCCCTCCTCCCTCAGACTCAGGGGCCCAGGCCCCAGTCCTTTCTCTCCCTCAGAACCAGTCTCCTCTCTCGGCCTAAGGAGTACAGTACCCAGCCTTCCTCCATTAGACCCAGCCTCCTCCCTCCGGCCCAGCCCCACTTTACATGGGGTCTCTTCCACTCCACCCCTTTGGCCTTCTCCGAGTCTGGCCCCAGGGTGTCATAGCCAAGGGCATCTGGGCCGGCAGGGAAACAGGGGTCGCGGAAGAGGATCCCTGATTCCAGACAGGCTGCTCGGATAGCCTGGTAGTTCTGGCCCCGAAAGAGCTGTGGGCCCCCGGCCCCAGCGCTGGAGCCGTCATCCACCAGCTGGATGGTGACCCGCCTGCCGCTGCCTGCCATCGGACACTCCGGCTCCGGAGGGCCCTGGGCCCTTTAACCTCCTGAGTCATGAGGCGGGGCCTGCTCCCTCAGAGCCCCGTTGGGGGTCTTTAGGAGCCGCCCTTGTTAATATTAATTGATGGTTTGGGGTGCCAGGGAGCAAGGACGCCTCATCAGTGGTTTCCTCCCTGGGGCGTGGAGCCTTCAGTTGTGGCCAGGGTGGCAGCTTAATGGGCTTGACCAGCAGCAGGAGGGAAGGTGGGCAGAGCTGAGGGAAGACTGGCCAAGAAGGAGGTCAACCTAGGGATGTGTTTCTGCTTGTTGCTGGGGGATGGGGAGGGAGGCGCAGCTATCTGCTTTCTCTGCACCTCTCTTCGGTCGGCCTCTGCTGCCAGCATTTCTCCTCTGACCTCTCCATTTTCTCTAAGCCATGATAACCCCTTGACCACCAAGCCAGCACCCCTCTTCTGCTCAGGCTCACACTGCTAAGCCCCTGGGACATTGGCAGGGTCCCTCAGGCAGGGCTGATTGGGCCAGCAGCCCAGGGCTCACCTGAGCCACGTAGCCCAGTCTTGTACAGGGGCACCTCAGGGTCTGGAGGCAGAAGGATGATCCCAAGAGGACCCTAGGGCCCTTAGAAGAACGGCACTCAGCTGTGCCTCAAACCTTCTGGCAGACAGCCTCTAATTCCCGGCTGCCTGGCCACCAAAAGGAATCACAAAACAGGATGCCTTAGGCCAGGCTCAGTGACACATGCTTGTAATCCCAGCTACTCTACCCCAAAGTCTGAAGTAGGAGGATGGAGCAAAACTGGGAGACCCCCCCCCCCATGGGCTGGGAAGGTGGTTCAGTGGTAGAGCGCTTGCCTTGCATGCATGAGGCCCTGGGTTCGATTTCCCAGCACCACATAAGCAAAAAGAAAAAAAGCCGGAAGTGGTGATGAGGCTCAAGTGGTAGAGTGCTCGCCTTGAGCTGAAGAGCTGAGGGACAGCGCCCAGGCCGAGTTCAGGCCCCATGACCGGTCCCCAAAAAAAAAAAATGGGAGACCCCATCCAAAAACGAAACTATAACAGAAAGGGCTGGACCCCGTGGCTCAGGTGATAGATCGCCTGCCTAGCAAGCACAAGGCCTCGAGTCCAAACCCCAGTACTGCCAAAAGCAGCCTCCAAATAATTCCTATGCATTTGGCCCAACCTACCCCACACCTCTCCCATCAGGGTCAGAGAGACGGCCGGCAGCAGGGACCAGGATTAGAACCATAGCACATGGGTTCAAGCCCCAGCTCTGCTACTTATGTCTCTGGACAAAGTCACTCCACCTCTCTAGGACTCAATTTTTCATTCCTACAGTGGGGGGTGAATATGGGCTCTACTTACAGAGGAGCTGTGGTGAGTGTGAGTGTGAGTATGTGTGTGTGTTTGGAGTGGGAATTAGACACCATGATGATAAATTAGCTGAAAAACATCCGATCAGCGATTAACAATCTACACAATTTAGAGGTGCAGGATCAGCCGATAAAACCTTCCAGACAATGAACTGGAGGCAGGGGGGTGACCAAAGAATGAGGAAATAAGGACAGAGTGCTCAAGCTTTGGTGCCACAACCATGTAGAGAAGAGAGGGAAAAAAAGGCTCACCAAGGCTGGGAATGTGGCTGAGTGGTAGAGCGCTTGCCTAGCATGCATGAAGCCCTGGGTTCCATTCCTCAGTACCACATACACAGGAAAAGCCAGAAGTGGCACTGTGGTTCAAGTGGTAGAGTGCTAGCCCTGAGCACAGGCCCTGAGTTCAAGCCCCAGGACCAGCAAAAAAGAAAAAAAAAAAAAGAAGAAAGAAAGAAAAGAAAAAGACTCCTCAGCAAGGACTTCAATTCTCACTATTTATCCAGAGGCCAAAGTGGCAATGAAGACAGCAACCAAGATGGCTGAGACGGGCTCAGGTTCACATGTTTTGTTTTGCCACAGGAAGGCAAAACTTACCTTCTGCGCAGAAGGGAACACCAGCAAGCAAGCATCGGCATAATTTCTTGACTCATAAACTTCCATATTGCTGATAACTCATGCCTGAGATCCCAGTTGCTCAAGAGACTGAACTCTGAGCACAGTAGCTGAAATCAAGCCCAGGCAGAAAATCCATGAGACTCTTTTCTCCACAATTAACCTCCCCCTCCACTCCCACCCCCCAAAAAAAGAAGTGGAGGTGTGATTCAAGTGGTAGAGTTCTAGCCTTCAATGGGAAAAGCAAGAGAGCATGAGGCCTTGATTTCAAACCCCAGTAGTGGAGCACACACGCACGCACACACAGAATTTTCCTATTACTTTACTTACATTCCTGTCTTGTGGGAATTCTTGTTATTCGCACGGGAAATGAAGGGTTATCTATGTCTTTTTAGCACTTGCATTCACAAAAAGGTAACAATGAGCCTGAGGGTCCATGCCCCAGGCTGACTCTAGCTGCTTTCCAGTGCCTTCCTCAGCCGCCTCTGTCATCTCTCTACCAACTTTTCTTTTCTCTCACTATGTAGGCTGGGCTGGGCTGGAGGAATTCAGGATCCTCTGGCCTGCATCTCCCCAGTGCCATGAGAGAGGGTTCTTCTCCTCTGTCTTCCCACCCCTGCAGTTACATACAGCTGACTCCTCTTTACTCCAATCACCACCCACATGGGTGACACCGTGCAGTGACCAGGAGTGACCACTCTTGTGATGAGTGGATCCTGAGGCCTTGGGGAAGGGGGGCTGGTTGCTAGATGTCCCCTATCACCGAGCGGGGCCCTGCTGGCTGGCTAAAAGGCAGGCTCCTAATATACCATTTTTGTTGTTTTGTTGTTTTTTTTTTTGCCAGTCCTGGGGCTTGAACTCAGAGTCTGGGCACTGTCCCTGAGCTTCTTTTGCTCAAGGCTAGTACTCTACCACTTGAGCCACAGCACCACTTCTGGCATTTTCTGTGTATGTGGTACTGAGGAATTGAACCCAGGTCTTCATGCATGCTAGGTAATCACTCTACCACTAAGCTACATTCCCAGCCATCCACAGCTGTTTTGTTGTTGTTATTGTCCGCGGTGGGGCTTGAACTCATGGTCTGTGCACTGTCCTGAGCTCTTTTGCTCAAGGCTAGTGCTCTACTGCTTTGAGCCACAGCTCCACTTCCAGTTTTCTGGTGGTTAATTGGAGGAAAAGAGCATCACAAGCTGGCTTTGAACTGTGATCCTCAGATCGCAGCCTTGGAGTAGCTAGAATTACAGGTGTGAGCCATAGGCACCAGCTCCACAAGTGTTCTCTATCACAGCCGCTTCACACCCAGGGGCCCTGCCATGCCTCTCCAGAAAAACTGTACGGACCATACAGAAATCCACATCTGCCTGGGGTGCTTTTCTGTTTGTGGGGCTGCAGATGAAGTCAGGGCTTGGAACAGGTGTAGGCTGCTTTAAGAGCCCAACTGTTTATCAGGAATCAGCCCCTTCTGTAGGCTTAAACAATCCATTGACTCAAGTTTTTTAGACTCTCTGGTAAAGCTAGCCAGGCCTCCTCAGCTAAAGATAGCCATGTGACCAAGGCCTGCCAATCAGAGCCCAGCAGCCATTAGCCAACATGGTGCCCCTCCCTCCCCAGGCCTCCAGATCATAAGGTACTAAGCTGTTCTGGGGCAGATGAGACTCCAGAGTAGTCTGTGTCTATTTTGGCCTGTAAATGAGGCCGAACTGATGGGAAGACAGACAGATGAATGAGATTCCCCTTGAGCATGAATCCAGATGTGCTTTATTTACTTATTTTGAGACAGAGCCTCATTATATAGCCTAAGCTGACCTAGAATTTAAGATCCTCTTTCCTGGCCTTCTAGAATCCTCTTTAACCCCAGATTGGCATGCACTATCAGGCTGGGTTCCCAGATGTGCTTGAAACCACACTTGGACATTCAAGGAGCCAAGTAGTGCTGCTGCTCTTCTATTTTTCCATTTTCTCACTAGCAACCAAAGGGATGCCCTCTCCACCCTCCCCTTCAGTTAGCATGATTTTTGCAAAGGTGTCCCAGCCCAAAGGCTGAACACCAGTCCTGTGTAACTGTGACACAATCTGCAGCCAAGGATTTTGTGCCTGTTCATCCCAGTTCCCACACATACCTTCTTACTATTGGCCAAAGCCACCGGAAAGACGGGCACTGGTGGCTCATGCCCGTAATCCTAGCTACTCAGGAGGCTGAGATCTGAGGAACCCGGTTCAAAGCCAGCCTGGGGAAGGAAAGTCTGTGAGACTCTTATCTCCAGTAAACCACCAGAAAACCAGAAGTGGTGCTGTGGCTCAAGTGGTAGAGCACTCCTCTTGAGCTGAAGAGCTCAGGGATAGTGCCCAGGCCCAGAGTTCAGGCCCCACGACCACCACCAACAAAAAGCACCAGAAAGAGACTATGCTTGAGTCAATAAAACAAATCTATGTAAAACACTATCCTTCTGGTGGCTCACATCTGTGATCCTAGCTACTCAGGAGGCTGAGATCTGAGGATCCTATTCCAAAGCCAGTCTGGGCAGACAAATCCAGGAAACTCTTATTTCCAACAACATCAAAAAAGCCAGAAGCAGAGCTGTGGCTCAAGTGGCAGAGTGCCAGCCTTGAGCACAAAAGCTAGGAGAAAGCGTCTAGGCCCTGAGTTCAAGCCCTACTACCAGCACCAAAAAGAAAACGAAAGCCCTCTAAATTCTTCCTTCAGCTCCTGGTACCCCTGTTCTTGGTCCTACAACCCTTATGATGATCCTGGTAAAATTTAATACACACTGTCCAGTCACTCTAATAAATTGGGTCTTAGATCTCCATGTTTCCATAGATCTGAGACCAATTTTTTTTGGGGGGGGTCCGGTCGTGGGGCCTGAACTGGGTCTGGGCGCTGTCCCTCAGCTCTTCAGCTCAAGGCTAGTGCTCTACCGCTTGAGCCACAGTGCCACTTCCTGCTTTTTTCCCCTGCTTATGTGGTGCTGAGGAATCGAACCCAGGGCCTTAAGCATACAACGCGAGCACTCTACCACTGAGCCACCTTCCCAGCCCAGATGAAAGTAATTTTTTGTTTTTTTGGACAGTCCTGGGCTTCTTTTTGCTCAAGGCCAGCACTGTATCTCTTGAGCCACAGTGCCACTTCTGTTTTTTTCTGTGTATGTGGTACTGAGGAATTGAACCCAGGGCTTCAGGCATGCTAAGCAAGCACTGTACCACTAAGCTACATTCCCAGCCCCTGAGACCGATTTTTTAAGGGTTGGTTTGTCTATTAGGAGACAGAGCTGTCTGGCTGCCTCTGCTCTATGATGTCAGCAGGAGGTGCTCTATACCTACATCAAATTGATGCAAGCTACAGAACACAATGCTTAGACTCTGCTGGGCTTGGAGGTACATACATATAATCCCAGAGGTGGAGAGGTGGAGAGACAGAAGGGTCACAAGTTGGAAGCCATCCTTAGCAAAGTTAGTAGGCAACTCCATCTCAAAATCAAAATCAGACTGGGAGCTAGTGGTTCATGCTTATATTGCAACTCCATCTCAAAATCAAAATCAGACTGGGAGCTAGTGGTTCATGCGTATATTCATAGCTAATCAGGAGGGTGGGATCTGAAGATCACACTTCAAAGTCAGCCAGGGCAGGAAAAAAAAATCCATGAGACTTTTATCTGCAATTAATCACAAAAAGCTGGAAGTGTAGCTATCGTTCAAGTGCTAGCCTTGAGCTAAAGAACTCAGGGACAGCCGGGTGCCGATGGCTCACGCCTGTAATCCTAGCTAACTCAGGAGGCTGAGATCTGAGGATCACGGTTCAAAGCCAGCCCAGGCAGGAAAGTCCATGAGACTCTTATCTCTGATAAACCACTAGAAAACTGGAAGTGGCGCTGTGGCTCAGGTGGTAGAGTACTCGCCTTGAGCTGAAGAGCTGAGGGACAGTGCTCAGGCCCAGAGTTCAAGCACCACAACCGACAAAAAAAAAAAAAAAAAAAGAACTAAGGGACAGAGCCTAGGCACGGAGTTCAAGCTCTATTACTAGTATACACTTGCGCATGAGCACACACACCAATAAGACAAAAAGATGGAGGAAGGTGTACAGCTTACCTAGACAGCTACTCTTACCACTTGAGTTACATTCCCAGCCATGTTTGCCTTTGTTATTTTCTTCAATTACATCTTCTGTGTTTCCCTGGAGACAGCCTAGACCTCCATTCTCCATTTACAATTCCTACATAGGTATGATGACAGGTATGTGCCACTTTGCCCGGCTATTGGTTGAGATGGGGTCTCATGTGTATGCTTTGGCTAGTCTCAGATCATGTTTGTTCTATCATAGAGTCTCAAGCAGATATGATTACAGGTGTGAGCCCTGTGAAAATTTACCAATGTTCAGAGCAACACTTGTGTATCATATATACAAATTTAGTGTCAGAATTCCTTCACAGAACTTTCATTTGAATTAACTACCCAGTAGTGCAGCTATGTGGCCTATCCCCAATTCTTTTTTTTTTGGGGGGGGGTCAGTCGTGGGGCTCGAACTCTGGGCCTGGGCGCTGTCCTTCAGCTCTTCAGCTCTAGGCAAGCACTCTACCCTTGAGCCACAGTGCCACTTCCGGTTTTCTGAGTGTTTATTGAAGAGTCTCACCGCCTTTCCTGCCCCAGCTGGCTTTGAACCTCCATCCTCAGATCTTAGCCTTATGAGTAGCTAGGATTACAGGTGTGAGCCACCAGCGCCCAGTTTTACCTCCAATTCTTAGCAGCCATCAATATTTCTCTACCAAACAGAACTGAACTTGAATGTGACTAATATTTAGACTAAAGTCATAGCATCAAAATCAGGCTTGAAAGTAAAGCCTGCTCAGAAGTAAGCCAAGCTGAGCTCTGGGCAGCTGAGACCAGCCGGGTAGTAATAGAGGCAGGTACAATATGGACATACAACCTGTTCTGTCGGGCTGTCACAGATGTCCTGAGCTCACCTTTCATAAAAGTTTCCTTTAAGGTGAACCTAACAACACCCTTGGGAGGCCTGGTTTCCTAGAGCTGGCCAAGAGGGTAGGGGGAGGAGGGAAAGGATAGACACAGGGTCTTTTATAATGTAGACATTGGGAAGGGTGAGGAAAAATCTCAAATATTCCCCCTGACACTGCATGGTACCAATTTCACCAATACGAGCGCACATTTCTTCTTTCTTTCTTTTTATTTATTTTTTTGCCAGTCCTGGGGCCTGAACTCAGGGCCTGGGCACTGTCCCTGAGCCTCTCTGTGCTCAAGGCTAGCACTCTACCACTTGAGCCACAGCGCCACTTCTGCCTTTTTCTGTTTATGTGGTACTGAGGAATGGAACCCAGGGCTTCATGCATGCTAGGCAAGCACTCTATCACTAAGCCACATTCCCAGCTCCCCACTGCATTTTTTTCTCAGTTGCGGGGCATGAACTCAGGGCATGGGCACTGTTCCTGAGCTCTTTTGCTCAAGGCTAACGCTCTACCACCTGAGCTACAACCTGATTAATTGGAGCTAGGAGTCTCACAGACGTTCCTACTTGAGGTGGCTTCTAAGATCCTCAGATCTCAGCCTCTTGAACAGCTAGGATTACAGGCAGGAACCACCAGCTTTGAAGTCAAGGCCTAGGTGCTGTCCCTTAGCTTTTTCAATCAAGGCTGGCTCTCTCCTATTTAAGCCATAGCTCCACTTCCAGCTTTTTTGGTGATTAATTGGAGATAACCACCAAAAAGGGAGTGTGTATGGCTCAAGTGACAAGGTACCTCACATGTGCAAGGGCCTGAGTTCAAACTCCTATACTGGAGAAGAAGAAAAAAGCCAGGCGCTGGTGGCTCACACCTGTAATCCTAGCTACTCAGGAGGCTGAGATGTGGGGATCCCAGTTCAAAGCCAGCCCAGCAGGAAAGTTCATGAGACTCGATTACCTCCAATAGACCACCAGGAAACCCGAAGTAGCCTTGAGCCACTGGACAGTGCCCAGGCCCAGAGTTCAAGCCCCACAATCGAAAAACAACAAGGTCTTGCTAGCCTGCAGTCCCATCACCTGCTCTGACCACCCAAGTCCAAGCCCTACTAGATATATGGGAGAAGTTGATGACACACAGCGGAGTCTCCGGAAATTAGTGACTCATTAACCTAGTTTTCCAAAATTGACCATCCCATGTCCACATACCCCAATAAAACTTGAGGTCTTGGGGTGTGTAGTTCAGCACTCCCACCTGAACATGCCTGACCTCCCATCTGGAGGGGTTACATTAGCTTTGCTGTCGCTTTGCTTTGCATCAATAAACCTGCTCCTGATTAAGCCACTTCTGTTTGTCTTTAAATTCCTTCTCCTAACTGGGTGTCTCCCCTCTGCAATCCTAGCTACTCAGAAGGCTGAGGTCTTGAGGATCACAATTCAAAGCTAATCCTGGGCAAGAAAGTCTGTGAGATTCTCATCTCCAATTAACTACCAAAAAACAGGAAGTATGGTATCAGCCTTGAGTGATAATGCCCAGGGACAGTGCCCAGAAAACTAAGTGGTGGTAAGAGCTAGGCCAAGGGTGTGAGACACCTGTAATTGCTCAGGAGATAGGCAGAAGGATGTTTGTAGCTCAGGATTTCGAGGCCCCATTTAAAAAAAAAAAAAAAGCCAGGGCTGGGAAGGTGGCTCATTGGTAGAGCACTTGCCTTGCATGCCTGAGGCCCTGGGTTCGATTCCTCAGCACCACATAAGCAAAAAGAAAAAAGCCGTTAGTGGCGCTATGACTCAAGTGGTAGAGCGCTAGCCTTGAGATGAAGAGCTGAGGGACAGGGCCCAGGCCCAGAGTTTGGGCCCCAGGACTGGACTAAAAAAAAAAAAAAAAAAAAAAGCCAGATGCTATGGTTTATACCTTTAATCCTAGCTATCAGGAGGCTGGATCTGAGAATCATGGCTCAAAGGTAGCTCAGGCAAGAAAGTCCAGGAGACTCTTTATCTTGTATTAATCACAGAAAAAGCTGTAAGTGGTGCTGTAGGTTAAGTGGTAGAGTGCTAGCCTTGAGAAAAAGAGTTTAGGGGCAGTACCCAGGTCCAGAGTTCAAGGCTGAGGACTGAGGGGCAGCATCCAAGTTCAAGCCCCACAATGGATGAAACAAATAAACAAAGAAAACTGAGATCTTAAGAGATACTCCAAAATGGCCCTATTTCTTCAAAGTAATGCTCCCCCTCTTTTTTTTTTTTTTTGTCAGTTGTGAGGCTTTAACTCAGGGACTGGGCAGTGTCCCTGAGCTCTTTTTCTCAAGGCTACCACTCTACCACTTTGAGCCACAGCTCCACTTCTGGTTTTCTGGTGGTTAATTGGAAATACAAGTCTCATGCATTTTCCCCCGGGGCTGGCTTTGAGCCAAGATCCTCAGATCTCAGCTTCTTGAGTAGCTAGGATTACAGTTATGCACCACCAGTGCCCAGACTTTGTACCATGTTCTTCTGCCTCTTGCCATATTCTGTGGGTTGCCGTAACTCTGCCACCCAAAACCCAGTATCATTGGCTGGGTGTGCCGTAATTTACTCAACCTGGGACTAAAGGCAATTTCCAGCTCTTCTCTCCTACTGCAAACAACTACTGCAATTTGTACACTAATTCCTTAATGAATACCTAAGCCAACTTTTCTGCTGCTAACTGCCCCGCTACACAAGCCAATTGTCATGGGAGTTACTCAGTAAAGAATGTCAGGCAGAACCTGGAGGAGCCTGCAGAAGAACAAGTTCCTGGGACTTGGACAAGCCACACTTGGGAGGAGCGGCTGTGTGCTTGAAATCCCACTTGGAGAATTTGCTCTGAAGATGTTAAGCAATGTCTACTAGTCAAATGACATTATTTGACAGCTAGGCCACCATACACCTGGGAGAGTACTGAATCGGGGTTAGTTTTAAACCAAGAAGCTTTACAGAGTGATTATGAGCAGCAGTCTCCTGCAGTCTATCAGCCTCCCTTGCAGCTAGAGTTTCCTTCTGGGCATCCATGGAGTCCAGGGTCTACATCCGGGTACTACGATATCTTTACATCCGCCATGTAAAGAACAGAGGCCTAGCCCAAGCGGTGGCCTTCCTGGAGTCGGTTTCTCGACTTGGGGTGCTGTGGCGAGTTGGCACAGTCCTGAGGCTGGCGACCAGCACCTCCTCGCAGCACAGCTCGTCCCTGCTCTTCTTAGTTGAACTTGCGCGAGGATAAACTCCAGTAGCAGCAACTGCGCTGTGGCCTTCACGTCCTTGCTCAGTCCAGCTGTGAGCACTTTGCCCACTGTCACCAAACAGCGCAGTGCTGACCTTTATGCGGAATTGGCCCCCTGGCGGTGAGACACGGGCCCAGGCCAGGTGCCCAGTGGGCCAAAGGGTTCCTTCCTGAGCTGCCTTCCAAGCACGCCAGAGGACTCCCAACGCCACTTCCGGTTGCCCTTAGTTAAGATGGCGGGCGCAGGGGCGTCACCGAGGGTTGGGCTGCGGCTTCTATGCCCTTGCCCAACATGGCGGATCTCGTCCCGCCCCTCGGCTTCCGCCCCTCAGGTTAGTTTGGTGACAGTCCTGCTGACCGCAGCGATGGCGGTTTCTCGCGCAGTCCGCGACCTGTGGCTGAGGCGTAAGTCACCCCCTGTCCTCTGGGGGGTCCACCGAGGAGAGGCCTATGCGGAGGCAGCAAAAGGGTCCGTGCGCTGCCTAACGCAGGGGTCTCCAGAGGCTCCCAACCCGAGAGAACTCCCCAACTCCCGAAGACTGTGTCTTTGCAATCTGGGGTCCCTGACAGCTCGTCGCCCCCGGGCCTGGCTCAGCCCACCGTCCACGGTCTCAAGGATTCTCAGACTCAGCCACTGCCAAGTGCACCCCAGTCCTCAAACCCCAGTCCCCCTCGACCCTGGGCTCTGAGGACTTTGTGTTCTCCAGGCCAGGCTCCCCATTCTGGCGTCGCCAGGGCTCTTCTTCCCCTCTGTCCCCAGGACTGGCAGCGCCCACGCAGCGGGGCTTCCACCTCAGCCCTCGCCCCCTGAGCTCCTCCGCACACCAGGCCTCCAAGGCAGCCCCCTCGGAAGCCTCGGACCACAGCTATGAGTCCCTGCAGGTGACCTCGGCTGGGACACACGTCCTCCACGTGCAGCTGAACAGGCCTGACAAGAGGAATGCCATGAACAAGGCCTTCTGGAGGTGCGGGCTGCACATCCTGGAGGCCTTCCTGCAGGCGGAGGCGGGGCTGGGGCACCAGGCCTGGCTGGCCTTGGAGGACAGACAGATGGACTTGAGGGTGGGGCAGTCCCACTGCTGTGCTTACTGGCTCTTCCCTCCTTGCTCCTCCACAGGGAGATGGTGGAATGCTTCAACAAGATAGCCAGGGACTCCAACTGCAGGGCTGTGGTGGTCTCGGGTGCAGGAAAAATGTTCACTTCAGGTACCTTCTCCTCCCCAGGCGCTCCTGGTCCTGGTGGTATGGCAGTGCTTCTAATTGAGGATTTTAGGCAGCTCTAACTTATGATTTGAACCTCTTGCTCTTTTGTCACAAGACCTCATTTCAAGCATCCAATCAGGGGCTGTGGTGTGGCTCCGACAGAGCACTGGCCTTGCATGCTAGAGGACCTGGGTCATCCCCAGCATCCCCTCCCCAGACAGCCAATCGAGAAATGAGTGCAGAACACACTATCTGAGCCCTTGAACCAGACAGTCGAACCAGACTGTTGGCCTCTCAGAGTCCAGAGCAGGGTCAGCCAAGTGTGTCACCATAGCGGGGCCTTGCCCACGTAGTCAGCAGGCACATGCTAGTCTCTGGGTGTCTGTGGCCCTTTGCTCTGCTCTCCAGAGGGTGTCATCGGCCATCAAAGTCCCTCAGTGTTCTGACTTCAGATACTGTAGGTTTTCTTCTCACATATCCATTTGCAGCCAGCAAAGTGGCTGGCATCTATAATCCCAGCCACTCCAGAGGCACAGATGGAGAGGATTGTTGATTGAGGCCAACCTTATCAAAAAGTTAGGAGACATCTCCCACCCCCACCCCATGTCAACTGATAGCAGGGCATGGTGGCTCACACCTGTCATCCAGCTACTCAGAAGGTATAAAAAGGATTGAGGCAACAATCATTAAACAAGCAGAAGGGAGGCCCTAGCGAGGCCAGGGCCTCTCAGTGGCAGACAACAGACACAAGAAGCAATCCCAAGCCAGGAGTCACTGGCTCATGCCTATAATCCTAGCTACTCTGAAGGCTGAGATCTGAAGATCATGGTTTGAAGCCAGCTTGGGCAGGAAAGTCTGTGAGACTCTTGTCTGCAATAAGTTACCAAAAAAGACAGAAGTGGAGCTGTGGCTCAAAGTGGTAGAATGTTAGCCTTAAGTGAAAAAGCTCAGGGACAGTGGCTAGGCCCTGAGTTCAAGCTCCCACAATGGGGAAAAAAAGCAATCCCTATAAAAATGCCTCCATTTCTATGTGGCCTCCATTTTTAGCACCCAACAATTATAGCCCTTAAGATCTGTATTCTGTAACATGAGCCCAAGGACCAAAGAGAAGACAGGCAGCTTCTCCCAGTGACTGACCCTATGAAGAGATGAAATTACAGATAAAAGAAAAACATGAAATTTGGCACTGTAGCACACAACTGTAATCCTAATTATTCAGGAGGAAGAGGCAGGCAAATCCTCCTTTTCCCTCCCTGACCCTGGCCTTCATCTCCATCATACTCACTCTATTCTAGCCCTGCAGGCCATCTTGAAGACCCATACCCAGGTCAGGGGCATTCCAACTCAACCACTGGGCCTTTGCACTGGCTGTTCCATCATCTGTTCACCACAGTCTAGATATATTCATGTCTCTTCCCTTTGTCTCCTTCAGGTCTTTCACTGAGGTCAGTAGACAAGGCAACAGCCTCCCTGCTGACTTCCAACACAGATATATGTCATACTTTTCATATAGTTGAGATGGAGTCTCAAGGAGATGTATTGTAGGCTAGCCTCCAACTCCTGATCCTCCCGCCTCCACCAAGTGCTGGGATTACAGGCCTGTGTCACATTGCTCCAGTCTAATTTTACGTGTGTGTGTGTGTGTGTGTGTGTGTGTGTGTGTGTGTGTGTGTGTGGCTGGTCCTGGGCTTAAACTCAAGATCTAATCTGGTTTATCTTTCTTGCTTATGGCACCATGGAGCCTGGACCTCTTTGGCCATCAGATAGCCATAGTTGCAGGCTGGAACTCAGGGTCTTGCCCATCCTGGGCAGATTCTCCACCACTGAGCCACACTCTAGCTGGGACAGTCATGAACAGCAGTCCAGGCCTCGAATCTGAGCATTCAGGAGCCAGAGGTGGAGGGTCAGGAGTTCCAGGCCAGCCAGGGCTACCTAGCGAACTCTGTTTCCAAAACAAAACAAAGACTGCATACCAGTGACTCAAAGGCTGAGATCTGAGAATCATGCTTCAGAGCCAGCCTGACACTAAAGTCAGTGAGACTCTTATCTCCAATGAACTACCAGAAAACCAGAAGTAAAGCTATGGCTCAAAGTGATAGTGCTAGCCTTGAGCAAAAGAGCTTAGGGACAGTGCCCAGGCCCTGAGTAAAAGCCCTATAAAACAAAGCATGAAAGAAAACCAGGAAAGCTGGGCACCAGCAGCTCACTCCTGTAATCCTAGCTACTTGGGAGGCTGACAGCTGAGGATCATGGTTCAAAGATAGCCTGGGCAGGAAAGTCTAAGAGAGACTCTTCTCTCCAATAAACTACTCAGAAAAAGGTGGAAGTGGCCCTGTGGCTCAAGTGGTAAAGCACTAGCCTTGAGCAAAAAACAGCCAGGGACAATGCCTAGGCCCAGAGTTCAAGCCCCAGGACTGGCAAAAAAAAAAAGAAAAATAGAAGAAAAGTCAGAAGAAGGAAGATGGAGGTACAAGTTCACGCCATCTCAAACCCCAATCTCAGGAGACAACTTGCTGTGGCTAGTGACCATGGGACCATTTTGGATCTGAGTCCTGGCTAGGTTCTAGAGTGCTGGAAGACTATGTGAGTGCCTCCTCCCCCCTTTCCTGGCCAGGAATTGACCTCATGGACATGGCTTCAGAACTGCTGCAGCCTGAGGGAGACGACGTGGCCCGCATCAGCTGGTACCTCCGTGACCTCATCACCCAGTACCAGAAGACCTTCACCGTCATTGAGAAGGTGACTCTGGGCACAGCAGGGCAGCAGCTCCTCTGCCCACTGCCCTCAGCCCTGACCCCAGCCCTGCCTTCCCTTCCAGTGCCCCAAACCTGTGATCGCTGCCATCCACGGGGGGTGCATTGGTGGAGGAGGGGGTGCTGAGGCCTCCCCTCCCTCAGCCAGGGCTTCCACTCTCAGCTCCCTGCTGCTGAGCCTGGGGCCCCGCATGCGGCCATGACTGGGGAGCAGGGTCAGGCTCCTTCCCTCTGCATTGTCCCTGGCCTCTTCCTTCCAGGTGTGGACCTCATCACTGCCTGTGACATCCGCTACTGTGCCCAGGATGCTTTCTTCCAGGTCAAGGTGAGTCTCCCTGAGCTCCTCCCACAGTGCTGACTAGAGAGTGGCACACCTGTCAGAGCAGGGACCACGTGTGTGGAGGGAGCAAGCCCTGAGGGCTTCATGGCAGAGGAGTCAGAGTGGCCCTTCCAAAGTGAGGCTCAGGAGACAGGCAGGGTAGCACACAGCTGTCATCCTGGCACTTGGGAGGTGAAGGACCACATGGCAGGACCTTGCCTCTCCAAACCAAGAGCTGGGGATTTGGCTTGGTAGACTGCTTATCTGGCACATGGAGGATCTTGTTCCTGGCTCTAGTACAATGGAGAACATCTCCTGGCAGGCATCTAGGGAAGTGAGAAGTGATTGGGGGGAGGTGGCACAGACAGTGTGGCTGTCAAGCCACGCTGGAGACCCAGAGACACAGGATGAAGCCAGGTGCAGGTGGGATCTGGAGGGAGAGAGGGAGAGGAGGGGAGGGAAAGGGAAGGGGTGCCTCCTGAGAGGTGAGGTCGCCATGAAGAACCCACTGTAAAGAACCAGGAAGTTGCTGGGTGCTCATGCCTGTCATCATAGATACTCATGAGGTTGAAATACGAGGATCAAGGTTCAAAACCAGCCTGAGCAGGAAAGTCCATAAGTCTCTTATCTACAATTAACCACCAGAAAACCAGGAGTGGTGCTGTGACTTGAAGTGGTAGAGTGCTAGCCTTGAGCAAAAAAGAGCTCAAGGATAGCACCCAGGCCCGGAGTTCAAGCCTCAGGACTAACAAAAATAAGAACCAGTATGTCTCCTAGGGAGGAACTGTCTAGGGTTAGCATTGTAGGGGAGTAGGAGGTGTTCGGGGGTGAGGGTACAGAACTGGTGGGAAGTGGGGAACAGCTCTGGAGAATGGCACCAAGTCCTGGCCTTGAGTGTTGGAAAGCAAATTATGACAGTCCCACTGCACACTAGGAGGTGGACATAGGCCTGACCCCTGACTTGGGGACGCTGCAGCGGCTGCCCAAAGTCATTGAGAATCAGAGGTGAGAGGGGGGCGGAGGGGAGGACTGTGGGGTCTCCCCCACCCCAGACCACAGGGAGTCCTGATGCGCCCTCCCTCCATTCCCACAGCCTGGTCAACGAGCTGGCCTTCACTGCCCGAAAGATGATGGCGGGCGAGGCGCTGAGCAGTGGACTGGTCAGGTAGTGGGGGCTGAGGACGGGGACAGGGCCACGGATGGGGGCGGAGGGCAACCAGGGGTTCGCGGGGACCTCCTGTCCCCTCTCCAGGTCACGGGCAGTGTTTTCTTGGGAGTGGCTGTGGCTGGCAGCTGGTGGTGAGGGGTCAGTACCTGGAAGATAGGTCCTCTCCTGGGCTCTGCCAGGCTTCCTATTCCTTTTATCCCCTCCTGAAGCCGTGTGTTCGTGGACAAGGAGGCCATGCTGGACGCAGCCTTCACGCTGGCGGCTGAGGTGTCGAGCAAGAGCCCAGTGGCCGTTCAGAGCACCAAGGTCAACCTGCTCTACTCGCGGTGGACATGGCGCAGGACTATGTAGTGAGCTTCAGCCTTGGCCAATCACGACGCTTCCTGCAGGATCTCTGCCAATCACTGCTCATGCTGCATGGCCTCCACCAATCACCACACTCCCAGTCCGGGCACGGCCTCCACCAATCACCTCACATCCTGCTACTCATGCATCCAATAGGGACTCGGGGGCGGGGGCCTGCACCTCGCCCTCAGATTGGTGCCCACTAGCATCACCCTGCCCCCTCCGCAGGCCTCTGGAAAATGAGCATGCTGCAGACCCAGGACATGGTGAAGTCAGTGCAGGCGGCCATGGAAAAGAAGGCCCTGAAGAGCGTCACCTTCTCCAAACTCAGCGCCAAGCCCGGCCTGCTCCGGGATCTGCCTGCCCACCTCTGTGCTGACCTCCTCCTCTGTAGTAGGAAGATTCAAGACAGACCTCTAGTGCCTTCTCAGTGCTCTCAAGCCTTATAACTTTATGGTGATCATTTCTTCCACCCAGGTTTTTTTCTCTTTTCTGAGAACAATTAAAAAACAAAAATGTTCTGGAGAGAACTTGGCCCATTACTGGAGGGGAGGGAGACCTCGAGTCCCGGGGGACTCCCAAAAGGCAGCTGTGAAGTTGGGGATAAGGTTCTTTTGCTCTTCTGAAACGAGTTGTCATTTTGTAGCCTAGGCTGCCCTGAGTCATTTGATCCTCCTGTCTTAAGTCACCCTTGTGGTCAAGGGGAAAGATCTGAAGGGTCAAAGATGATCACACAGGGTCAACAGGAAAGGTGGGAGGGATAGATCAGAGGTTACATAAACATTCTGAAACTTGATTGTCACATGGTTATTCTGGCTATATTCAGAGTCACCTATAGATGTTATTTTTATCTTCACTTTTTTTTTTTGGTCAGTTGTGGGGCTTGAACTCTGGGCCTGGGCACTGTCCCTCATCTCTTCAGCTCAAGGCTAGTGCTCTACCGCTGAGCCACAACATCACTTCTGGTTTATCTGGTGGTTTATTGGAGATAAGAGTCTCACTGACTTTCCTGTCCAGGCTGGCTTTGAACCTCAATCCTCAGATCTTAGCCTTCTGAGTAGCTAGGATTACAGGTGTGAGCCACTGGCACCCAGCTTATCTTTACTTTTTGTTATGCTGAAGATCAAATGCAGGATTTCAAACATACTTCCAGAAACAGTTTAATACAAATTTTGGTGTTTAGACTGAGATTTTTTTTGTGTGTGGGGGGGTCTGGTCATGGGGCCTGAACTCTGTCCCTCAGCTCTTCAACTCAAGGCTAGTGCTCTACCACTTGAGCCACAGCACCACTCCTGGCTTTTTTCTTTTTGCTTATGTGGTGCTGAGGAATTGAACCCAGGGCCTCATGCATGCAAGGCAAGCGCTCTACCACTGAGCTACCTTCCCAGCCTCTAGGCCAAGATTTTAACTAAGGGCTTGATGGTATGAACTAACAATCCAGTCCAGGTTTTTTGGGTCATTGATTACAGATGGAATCTATTGAACTATTGAACTTTTCTCAAACCTCTATCCTCCTCCTCTAAGCTTCCTGTAGTAGCTACTGTGTGTGTGTGTGTAATATACGTTATATATATATATATATTTGCATTTCCCCACTGAATTGCTAAGTCACCCACATGCTCCTTTATCACTCATAAATACCTGTGTATTTTCTGCTGTGGGAGCACTCCACACCACAAAGTATATGGGGGGAGATGGGAAGTCTCCATGCCACATGGCATGAGGCCCCACCTCTATCCCCAGATATACACACTGTGACAGATGATTTCCTAGGAATATCTTCTTTTTTCTGTCAATCATGGGGCTTGAACTCAGGGTCTGGGTGCTGTTCCTGAGCTCTTTTGCTCAAGGCTAGCACTCTATCACTATGAGATACAGCTCCACTTCTGGCTTTCTGGTGGTTGTGGAGACAAGAGTCTCAAGGACTTTCCCACCCGGGCTGGCTTTGAACTTTGATCCACAGATTTAGCCTTCTGAGTAGCTAGGATTGCAGGTGTGAGTTGCCAACACCTGATTTCTAAGAATGTCTTTACAAAAACCCTGGAAAAAGCTTGGCTCTGGCAACTCACTCCTGTAATGCTAGCTACTCAGAAGGCTCAAATCTGAGGATTGAGGTTCGAAGTCAGCCAGAGCAGTAAAGTCCCTCACACTATTACCTCCAATAAACTCAGAAAAAGGGGAAGAAAGTGAAGTTGTGGCTCAATTGGTAGAGTGCTAGCCTTGGGCAAAACAAGCTCAGGGACAATGCCCAGACCAGAGTTCAAGCCCCAGGATGGGCAAAAGAAAACAACAGGGCTGGGGATGTGGGGGATGTGCCTTAGTGGTAGAGTGTTTGCCTAACATGCATGAAGCCCTGGGTTTGATTCCTCAGAACCACATACACAGAAAAAGCTGGAAGTGGTGCTGGAGCTCAAGTGGTAGAGCACAGAGAGGCAAAGTGCTGAAGCCCTGATTTCAAGCCCCAGGAGTGGCAAAAACAAAAACCTGGACAGCTACAAGGCCAGTGACTCAAGTCTGTAATTCTAGCTACTCAGGAGGCTGAGATCTGAGGACTGCAGTTCAAAATCAGCGGAGTAGGAAAGTCAGTGGAATCTTATCTTCAATTAATCACCATAAAAGACAGCAATGGAGCTGTGGCTCAAAGTAGTAGAGTGCTAGCCTTGAGCACAAATACTCAGGAATAATTCTCAGCCCCAAGTTCATGCATTAGAACTGGCACAAAAATAAACACCTAGAAAGTTACTGTAAGTACTTGACACTGCAAAACACCAGCTCCTTCACCAGGGCTTGCAGACTTTCTCAGAGCTCCATGAAATAGATGTCCTATCCTAACCACTTCTACTAAGGGAAGGGTCAAGCAGGGGGCACAAGGGCCCAAAACTAACAAATCAGAAAAGGCAGGAGTTGCTGGGCGCCAGTGACTCACACCTGCGATCCTAGCTACTGGGGAGGCTAAGATCTGAGGATCAAGGTTCAAAGCCAGCCTGGGCAGGAAAGTCAGTGAGATTCTTTTTTTTTTTTTTGGTCAGTCATGGGTCTGAACTCTGGGCCTGGGTGTTGTCCCTCAGCTCTTCAACTCAAGGCTAGCACTCTTCCACTTGAGCCACAGCACCACTTCCGTTTTTTTCTGCTTATGTGGTGCTGAGGAATCGAACCCAGGGCCTCATGCATGCAAGGCAAGCACTCTACCATTGAGCCACCTTCCCAGCCCCTGTGAGATTCTTTTTTTTTTTTTTTTGGCCGTGGGGCTTGAACTCTGGGCCTGGGCGCTGTCCCTCAGCTCTTCAGCTCAAGGCGAGCGCTCTACCACTTGAGCTACAGTGCCACTTCCAGTTTTCTGGTGGTTTATTGGAGATAGGAGTCTCACAGTCTCTCCTGCCCGGGCTGGCTTTGAACCGTGATCCTCAGAGTAGCTAGGATTACAGGTGTGAGCCACCAGCGCCCAGCTCCCTGTGAGATTCTTATCTCCACTTAACCACCAGAAAATGGGAAGTGACGCTGTGGCTCAAGTGGTAGAGCCTTAAGCTGAAGAGCTAAAGGACAGCGCCCAGGCCCAGAGTTCAAGCCCCACAACCAACCAAAAAATGAAAAAAAGAAAAGGTAAGAGCCCAGTCATGGCTCACCTAGTCACCAAGGATGTTTTCTTGGCCATGATGGTCAAGGTGGATACATGGACAATCGTCGCCAGGGAGGGCATCATCCTGTGGTTTGGAGCCTGGGCAGAAACCAGGCTCATCCCTTCATGGGTTGGGCAGTGGGGGACTCCAGGAAGACTCTCCAAATGCAAACTGACCCTGTGGTAGCACAGGAACAGAATCTCCACCCCCCATGGTGATGCCCAAGGCCACTGCCCTTTAGTCACCCCAGGCAGTGGGGCTGTGCTGCAGAGCGCCCTCATCCCTGTGAAGGGTTGGGGGGAGTGCTGGGTGTTCCTAAGAATCCAGGGGACAGCTGTCCTGTTGCACAATGCACACCCTGTTGATGGCATCTTTCAAAGCTACCGGTCTGCCCCGGGGCTGTGCATGCAAAGACCTGTCCCCATGGCAGGGCGCAGTTCCAGGAGATGACGCCCATCCCAAGTCAACTCACCCAATCCACCCCTTCTTGGGGCTAGGGAGAAAGAAAAAAAAAGGGGGGGACCTGAAGTAGGTGGGAGGGGCAGAGAGCTTTGAGATGTTTATTTTCGCTCCCAGCTCAAGTTTGAGGTATCCAGTGATCAGGAATCACACGGACTCAGTTTCCCTTGTTCAAATACACATATTAGTCGCCATTGACCTCCTTCCCCACTCCCACCGGATGACAATCCCTGGGATCTGAGGACCAAACCTGCCCATCAAGGGACACAGTTTGAATCCGGCGGCAGCCCCTGAGTGGCTGTCCTCAGCTCCCTGGTCCTCAGGTGCCCTCCTTTCATACAAAGGCCATGCGGACACAGTCAGGCACCTCGGCTACACTTTATTGGGCTCCCCGCCCCCCCTCCCCGAACCCCGCCCGTGGCTCGGGCTCAGAAGATCCTCACGGAATCCAGCAGCACATCGCCGCTCACTTCCAGTGCGCGCACGCGCGTTAGCGGCATCCGGTGGCGGAAGTTATGGTAGGGGGTGTCCCCTACCACGGCCTGCGGGGCAAAAGTCACAGTCAGAGACGCCCCCCCCCTCGGGGGCTACAGTAGGTCCAGCCCGAGCCCACCCAAGGGGGTGCAGCCTAGGGAGCTGCGTGTCCCGCTGCGCCCCGGGGGCTCTCCGCTGCAGAAATGGGGCACAGGCCCATTTCTGGGGTCAAATGACTTGAGAGTAGGACAGAACCTGAGCAGAAGTGTTTGGGTGGGTGAGGGGGGTTGCTGATTCGTGGGGTGCTGGGTCCTGAGTTGGAACGGTGGGGCGGGAGGAAAGGGGGAGAAGAGTTTCTTAGAAAGAGTTGGAAATGGTTGCTAGATTGGGGAGTCCGTGGTCACTATTGAAACCCTAATTTAAAGTGGTGATTGTGGCTGGGCACGGGTGGCTCACGCCTGTCACCTCGGTTTACTGAGGAGGCTGAGGTGCGAGGAAAGTCCATGAGATTGTGATCTCCAATGAACCAGCAAAGAGCCGGGACTGGAGCTGTGACTCAAGTGATAGAGCTTCAGGGACAGCGCCCAGGTCCTGAGTTCAAACCCAAGTACTAGCACAAAATTGAATAAAGTGGGGACGGTCTCAGCCACCCTGGCCCGCCAGGATGAGCTCCTGGGCTCTCATTGCCACTCCACCCCGTCCTCACCCCTCCTGATCTTGGGCACTAAGGACAGAGAGGAAGGCGGGCGGGAGGCTGCGGCCCACCCCGCCAGGGCACCCCACCCCGGATCCTGCCCCACCCTACTTACTGCCCCTCTAGTGCGGTGGAGGTGCGCACAGGCCAGGGGATGGTCCACAGACGCCCGGGCGGGCGGACCTAACCATTGCACCGCGTGCTCCACCCTGCTCACAGCATCAAACCACGCCCACAGCTCTACACTCAACACCTAGCGCCCCGCCCCGCGATCGATGCCCCGCCCATCGCATATCGCCACGCCCACCGCGCCACGCCCAGCATTCAGCATCCCGCCCTGCAGGGCCCCAGGGCCCCAGCCACACCTTGAAGCCGTCCTCGGCGGTGATGAGCAGCACCTCGAAGGGCTGGCCCCGCTGGAAGGGGACGCCTGCGCCGCGCTCCTCCGCGCCCCATTTGCCCTGCTCCATGCTGTTGAAGACCACCTCCGACGTGTCCAGCCGCGGGTTGAAATGCAGGGCGGCGTCGGCGCCCTGGTCCTCGCTGCACAGCAGGTTCACGTGGAACCTGCGGAGGGAGAGAGGATCGAGACTCGGTCATCACCACTGAGAGGACTCAGGCCAAGCACCCAAGGACCCAAGACTCTCTGTGTTCAGAGCCTGGGGACTTGGCAACTCACAGGGCCCAGCGTGAGGGAGTCTGGTAGGGTGGACAAGGGCAGGGAATCACAGATTGGAGGCCCTAACGATGATGGGGACTCTGAGCACAGATCTACCCATAACAGCCTGCGTGTTCGTGGCCATGGTATAAGTTCCCCAGGCCTCACAGGGCCTCAGAGCACCAGGGGCAGTACAAGGGAACCCCAAATCCCCACAAGCCACCCACGAAGAAAGTATACACTAACTGGCAGGTCCTGGAGCTCCAGGCCCACCTAGGGCTATACAAAGGTGGCCCTCGAACCCCAGATTATTTAGGGAGACCCCAGAACTCCATACAGGATGTCATGAGGAAATTAGTGAACATATCTGATTTCATAGCAGTTTTCATAAAGGTTCGAAAACTCTGATGTGCAGAGGTTCCAGGCCTTCCATCTCTGGGCTGTCATGGAGGATCCCCTAAACCTGACGATCACCCTCTCACCCAGTACTTTTGCCCTGGTTACTTGGGGGCCCAGAGGGAGGGTTTTCTTACCTGCTGGCCTTGTCAGGAACAATGCCTCGAATCCTCATCACAGTGCCTGTACGGAGGCCATCAGGCAGGGAGGTCTTGTGGGGGACCGTCTGCAAGATTCAGGGTAGAGGAAGTATGCGAACAGGGGAAACACAGGGAGAACTGGCAGGTAGGTGAGCCTCTCTAAAAAGAGCTCCAGTCCAGCGCCCGTGGCTCACACCTGTAATCCTAGCTACTCAGGAGGCTGAGTTCTGAGGAATGTGAGTCAAAGCCTGCCAGGCAGGCAACTCTGTGAGACTCTTATCTCCAATAAACCACTCAGAGAATAGGAAGTGCACTGTGGCTCCAGTGGTAGAGCGCTCACCTTGAACTGAAGAGCTCAGGGACAGGACCCAGGCCCAGACTTCAAGCCCCACAACCGACCAAATAAATAAAAGGAGCTCCAGAAGGTAGAGACAAGTGACCCCAGAATAGGAGAGATCCAGAAAGGCACCAGAAATGGGGACAGAAAGACAAGAGAAACTGGCAGTAAGAATGTGAGGTGAGATGCAGCAGAGGAGAGAGATGGAGACCTTGGCGAAGTCTGGGTGACACTAAGTCCACCCTTGGGCAATTCCCCGCAGGCCCAGGCCCCCACTTTCTCCCTGGAGCAGGACTTTGCAGCCAGGCCCAGCACAGGCCGTGGGGGCTGAGCTTGACCCTGGGCTCCTAAAGCACTCACCGAGCTCATGGCTGGCACAGTGGGAAGGCAGCAATGTGGCAGTGCACCCACAGGGACCTTAAATAGAGGCAAGATGGGGCTGGCCTTGGTGACTCACCCCTGCCTTCCACCCACCGCCCACAGCTGGCACAGACCCTGGCCCTGGGGCACAACTGGCAAGGCTGGGCCTGGCCCTCCGCCCCCTCCTCCTCCTGCCCTCCTCCCATGCTCCCTGGGGTCCCAGACACATTGCCCCTCACCCAGGCCAGGACCCCACAGAAGGCCTCCCCTGGGTCCCCAGCCAGCCTGGCACATGAGACTCCCAGACACCCATCCACTGGTCCTGACAGGTCCCGCTGGGCTCAGCCTCAGCCTCAGCCTCCTGCCCAGGGCTGAGGACAGCGCTGACAGCCCCGGGCACCACTGCCCTCTGCTCACAGACACAGGAAGCACAGTCCACAAACTGCCTCCCATGGACACCATTTGGCCTGGCTGGGCCAGGGCTGGATCCCAGGCCCCAGCTGTGCCAGGAAGTGGGAGGTGAGGGCTCAGTGACCCCGGGGGTGATGGGGACTCAGGGGCAGCTGCCCTTCCCCAGGTCCTGGCTGGTTGGCTCCAGGCATGCATGCTCTAGCAGACATGGAAGGGAGGAGCAGGAGGGACACACACAGGCCTGGGGCGGGGCGGGAAGCAGTTGGTCCTAGGTGCAACCTGCACAGCTGTGTTGCCCTGCTTCCTGCCCCCTCAGCTCCACATGCCTGTCCTCACTCTGCTGTCCTCCCTCCCTCCCTGCCTCAGTCCCTGGACCACCCCCCACCATCCTGCCAGCTGCTCCCATGGTCCTGCTCAGTGATGATGGCGTACAAAGGGACATGGGTTAGGGTGTCCTAGACACCCAGACTGGGAACAGGACACAGGGAACTCTGCCCCAGCCTCCATCTCCTCTTCTCTGCCTCCCAGCCTCCACAAGAAGAACCAAGGAGAGGGGAAATCAGGGAGAAGGATGAAAGAAGTTTCTGGGAGCAGGCACAGGAAAGGGGGCAAGTTGAGCAATTCCCACCCCCCACCAAAGACACACACACACACACACACACACACACACACAGGAGAAGATTTCCCATCCCCACCCCCTCTCCTGTGCTCCTGCCCCACCCAGCAGGTGGCAAAGAGCCTGGGGCAGCTGCAGGCTGGGAGTGGAAAGTTGGGGTGGAGTCAGGAGACTTAGAGCAGGATCCATCTCTCTTCTCCCAAATTCTAGGCCTCCTAGCCCATCCCCTCCTTCCCCACCTTGCTCCCAGGTCTCCCAAGGGGAGGTTCAACTCAGAGGAGAAGAGCTCTGAACAGGAGCCTGGACCACTGCGTTGCTTTGGGGGTTGTAAGACCCCTCTGTTTTGGCAAGTTGAAAACAGGGGTTCAGAGAGGGTAGTCTCTGAGCCAAGGCCACACAGCAAGCAGGAAAGATGCCAGATCCTGAGAGTGATCTGGAGGTAATCTACTTAGGGCATCCCAAAACTAAATAGAAAAACTTTTCTCTTCCAATAGCAACAGTTGGGCTGGGCTATGGTCAGGAATAGTGGATCTCCTTTCTCTATCACTTCTGCCCTGGGAAGTCAGATTCTCCTAGCTTGTTTGTTTTGATGTGAATCCTGTCTCTGTATTGTTTCCCATGACTTCTCTCTGATTTCTTCACCCAGTCTAGATATAAGTTCATGCAGTTTCCCTGCACGTCTGAACTTGCCTGTCTTTGATGATTGACCCCAAGTTTGTTATCAGTTCATAAATCTCATTTCTTGGAACTGAGATTCCCTGAATAAATCTCCTTGATTGATTCTCCTTGGTCACTATGGTAAATCTTGGATTTTTTTTTTTTTTTGGCCGGTTGTGGGGCTTGAACCCTGGGCCTGGGCGCTGTCCCTCAGCTCTTCAGCTCAAGGCGAGCGCTGTACCACTTGAGCCACAGTGCCACTTCTGGCTTTTTTTTCTGCTTATGTGGTGCTGAGAAATTGAACCCAGGGCCTCATGCATGCTAGGCAAGCGCTCTACCACTGAGCTACCTTCCCAGCCCCTCTGCCAGATTTTTTTTTAAATCTCCAATAAAAAGTATAGGGGGAAAAGACTGGAAATGGAGTTGTGGCTCAAGTGGTAGAGTGCTAGTCTTGAGCACAGAAGGTCCAGAACAGTGTCCAGACACCAGGCCACTAAACCACCTTCCCAGCCCAGTCCATGAGATTCTTATCTCCAATGAACTGCCAAAAAGCCAAAAGTGGGCTAGGAAGGTGGCTTAATGGTAGGGTGCTCGTCAAGCATACATGAAGCCCTGGGTTCAATTCCTTAGTACCACATAAACAGAAAGAGTCAGAAGTGGCACCGTGGCTCAAGTGGTAGAGTGCTAGCCTTGAGCAGAAGAAGCTCAGGGACAGTGCCCAGGCCCTGATATCAAGCCCCAGGACTGGCAGGAAAAACCAAAAGCTAAAAATGGAGCTGTGACTCAAGTGGTAGAGTGCCAGCCTTGAGCAAAAAAACTAAGTACTAGTGCCCAGGCCCTGAATTCAAGCTCCAGGACTAGTATTCTCTCTCTCTCTCATTCTGATCTAAGCCCACGAGTTAAACTTCGAGCAGAGCAAAAGCTTGGCCTTCCCACCTGCAGTCTCCCTGGAAGAAGAACAGGACTGATGAATAACATCTTCCTGACAAGAGCCCACAACCAGCCCCCAGTAGCAGCAGAGGCTTGCAGAACACCCCCAAATATGGATATGGGCCTATGCTGATGAGGCTGCACCCTGGAGGCCAGGAAGTTATCTCCTGGAAATCAGATTGCTACCCACCCTCCAGTGACAGGACACCCAGAAGTGATGCCGTGATAACGGCCAAGACTCCCAGAACTGGAACCCAGATAATCATCTGCAAGACACTGTTCAATTATACAGATCACGTTGATCTTTTGTTTGTTTGTTTGGTGTGCCTGTACTAAAGCTTGATTTCAGGGCCTGGGCAATGTCTCTGAGCTTTTGTGCTTAAGGCTGCTGCTTTACCACTTGAGCCACACACCTCTACTTCCAGTGTTTTGGTGTTTGGTTGGCGATAAGAGTCCCATTGACTTTGCTGACTGGACTGGCTTTGAACTGCAATACTCAGATCTCGGCTAAGCAGCTAGGATTACAGGCCTGAGCCATCAATGCCCACCTGGCATCTTCCTTCCTTCCTTCCTTCCTTCCTTCCTTCCTTCCTTCCTTCTTTCTTTCCTTCTTCCTTCCTTTTTGTGCCAGTCCTGGGCCTTGAACTCAGAGCCTAGGTACTGTCCCTAAGCATTTTTGCTCAAGGCTAGCATTCTATCACTTGAGCCACAGCAATACTTCTAGCTTTTTTTTTTAAGGTTCTATTTTATTTTTTGTTTATGGAGTACCAAGGAATCCAACCCAGGGCCTCATGCACCCCAGGCAAGCATTCTGCCACTAAGCTACATTCCCAGCCCACTTTTGGCTTTTTAGTGATTAATTGAAGGTAAGACTCTCATGGACTTTTCCTGCCCAGGCTAGATTCAAACCATGATCCTCAGATTTCAGCTTCCTGAGTAATTAGGTTAGAGACACAAGGCACCAATACCCAGCTGGCATCTTCCTTCCCTTCCCTTCCCTCCCTCCCTCCC